GCCACAAAATTAAAATCTTGTTCAGACATTTGTTCAATAATTATTTCGTTTCGAGACTCTTTCATGTTATATCAATTTGTTTTTTTATTTTTTAATTGGTCTACATTGAATAAAACAAAATAGTTAATTGCTTTGTAAGAGTTGTCATATGGGAGAAGTGACACACATTCACATTTGCGATTAAAAAGAACATCCATGAGAAATTATATCCGAAAATATATCCTTGACAAATATTTGCACCATTTAATTTTTACCGTTTAACAAGATTGAAGGTGTGATGGACAGATATTTCAGTACACATTAATCAATATACTGAATCATTGCATTATATTCAAAATAATGACTTACATAACAAAAAATGTCTTCTTTTATTGAAATCATTTCAGGCAGTGTTTATCACACAAATTAAATTCGAAACAAAATAAATTAAAAAATTGGATCGGTTTTGATAGATTTGATCGGGCAAACATAGACTGTGTTAACTATATGCTAAGAAATAGGTGGATTAGCTGTAGCATACAGGACATAACAATCAGAGACAAAATAGGTCTGGGAACACCACAGAGAGGGATTTTGCCACCGCTCCTGTGGGTAACTACCATAAATGGACTCTTAAGGAACTTAAACGATGAAGGATTGGAACCAGTCTGTTATGCAGATGACATTATAATTCTTCTTAGGGGAAAGAAACCTAACTTACTATGCAGGAAAGCCGAAACGGTGCTTAACATCGCCTAGGATTGGGCTAAACCGAGGGGCTCAAACGTAAATACGGACAAAACGGAGATATGTCTTTTCGCTAGAAAGACAAGGCTCTAAGTGGGGTTTCAATCCTAATATGATATACTGGACCTATAAGAGCGTTATTAGACCACATTCTAACATACGCGTCTGTTGTCTGGTGGACAGCAATGGATAAAAAATGTAACGTAAAAGCGTAGCAGAAAATTCAACACAACACCAACTAGGACCTTGGAGACAATATTATATATACATCCAATAGACATCCAAATAAAATATGAAGCGGCGGTTGCAGCTTTAAGACTCAAAGCAATGGACGAGTGGATAGACACCGGACACAACATTCCGCACACAAACATATTACAGGCAACTACTGAGTCAACAATCAATACCTTTGATTTAGACCGCACACCTGAAACGAGAGTAGTAACACGGTGTTAGACTATAATACCAGATAGAGAACAATGGAATAGTGGAACACTAGTTCAGATGCCGGCTGGGAACTGTTACAGATGGCTCTCTACTAGGAGGAAAAACAGGACTGGGTCTTTTTATCGATGAACCGGGTACCGAAATTTGTCTTCGCCTTACAGATCACAGCCGGAGGTTCAAGCTATAACAGAGTGTCTTAACTGGTTAAGTTCAAACTAAGGACAAAATGCAATAAATATTATTACGGATAGCTAACAAGCTGTAAAGGCAATATCTTTCAAAACAGTTAAATCCAAATCTGTATTGGAATGTATAAATACCATTAATGATTTCCCACAACACGGACCTGTACGAATTAGTCACGAAGGAATCATAGGCAACGAGATAGCCAAACAACTAGCTAGGAGTGCTATTGCACTACCCACAATCGATGTGAATACTGCCAAACCCTTTTAGAAATGAGGAAATGGGCGAATGAGCCCCACAAGACTCTTTGGGAAAGATGACCTAAATCTTATGGGGTGACCCAAATGAAGACAAAACTAAGCAAATTCTAACGCTAAAAATAGAGAAATAAGACGAATGACGGGTATTCCGACGGGACACCTGAGCCTGAAGGCACATCTACTCAAGATTGGATGCGAAGGTAGCAGCATGTGCAGAGCGTGTGGGGAAGACAGTGAAACGCTGGAACATTTCCTGTGCCATTGCCCAGCATTTACATGCCTTCGGAAACAATTCTTGGGAAATGACACTTTTCACGGACTAACCGATCTGAGGGGGTGTGAATGGAGAAGACTGAAGAAGTTCTCACAAAACACGGAATTCCTAGATTGATAGGTCATCGTAGGGATCAGACCCAAAATGTTTTAATCTAAACTTTCACTAATTCTAACTTTCTCCGCATTTCTGGAGCGCACAACAGGCCTCAATTGGTTATGTGTATGTCCTTCCCATGTTGGACATGTGGTGGTATTGGTAGACTCATTTCAATACGACATGCAAAATTTCGCCCCAATCAGATACAACTTGGCAGTTTAGTGCACCATTTACTTAAAACCGGACCGAAATATATATGGTAACTAGACCTAAATCTCAACCGATTTCAGCAAAACTTCACATACGACAATCTGTTCTTAATTGTGTACGTTTTCAAAAGTTTGTGACTTGTGACCAGCATTGTGACTTGGGCGAACTATTGTGGAATCGGACAAATCTATATATGGGAGCTATCTAAATCTGAACCGATTATTCCCAATTTCAACAGGGTTCGTCCAAATAAGTAGGCTGTGCCAAATTTCATCTTATTCGGATTATAAATGCGACCCATAATTTAATTTTTTAATTTAACATGGACAGACAGACGGACGCAGAAAGTGATTATCTCGTTTCTATTTGCCCTGTACCAGTGTGGTGAAGGGTATAATAATGTTTTATTGAATTTAACTTGTAAATTGGAATTTTCACCTGTAATTGAAAACTTTTCAACTGAACTTCGATGATAGAATTATTTGAATTGTAAATGGAATAAAAATTTCAGATGAATTATTTTGAACTGCAATAAATTACAATGATAATTAACGAATTTCGCCTGGAAAATCTGTATTTAAAATATACATAAGAGGTTATCCTATAGACACTATAAAATATTACGATGCGCTAACAATTGAATATTAAATTAACTTCAAATTAAAACGTTGACCCTTTGTGTGGAGGAGGAACCAAACGGAGTGGACTTTATCTAGGTTTGGTAAATGTATTAAGATTTCCAAATTTTGGAGCAAATCATGTTAAATTTTGACACTTTGTGGTAGAGGTACCAGAAGGAATGAATCGATGAGTCATATTTTCGGACCATATTATGTAGTTTGTATAAAATTTGGATATTCCGTTCACTTCATATGAGTTTGAAAATTGTTGAATCTTTTTGTGGGGGAGGTCCTAGAAGTAGTCGACTGATATTCACAATCTTCAAACTTGATTTAGTTAAAGGGGAAAAATTGATGGCACAGTTAATATTGTTGGATTAACAAAATATTGTGGGGGAGGTACCAGAAGACTGACGGTTTCCACCTAGGTAAAAATATTACGATGTGCAAAGTTTGGATAAAAATTTAGATATTTTGTTCGCCTTACAAATTTTATATAATTTTCAAAATTTTGGCCCTTTGTGGAGTAACTACTAGAATGATTTTTGGTTTAAATTTTCAGATCAATTTTGACAATTTTGTTGGGGAACAAACAGAAGGAGTGGATTTATTTTCTTCATCTTCGAACATGCTTTGAGTTTGAAAGAAATGTGTACAGTTTGGATAAAATTGGACATTCCACCAATATTTAATTTACAAATATTGAAAACTTTGACCCTTTGTGGGAGTTTGGTTGTACAAAGCTTTGTTCAAAACGTATAGTCCATTTGCATGATACTATAAAATTAATTTTCACCCAGTGTTGACATATTGTGGGGGAGCTAGCAGAAGTAGTGTATTGATTTTCCTCATCTTTGAACTTGATTTTAGTTTGGAAAAAATATTTCGATGTGAAAATTTCGAAAAAATAATCGTAACTACCTTCGAGAGTTATGGTGCGAACCAGCCGGTCAGACAGACGTACAGACATTTGTAAATTGACTCCTAATTGTCTGAAATGGGTTTAGCCCTTTGGACAAAATCCAAACAATATTTCGTGTATTTATTTGGAAAATGCTTCATTCCAATTGAAAACAGGGTGCAATCCATTTATAAAAGGTTATATTCCAATTGCAAAATGTTTCATTCCAATTGCAAAATGTTTCGCTTCATTTGCAAAAGGTTTCATTTAATTTGCAAAACGTTTCGAGGGACTTCTCTGAATCATTGCTAAATCGATTACAAATTCGTAAGAGATTGCCCAAAAATGTCATAGTTAGGAACCTATTGCAACCGAAAAAAAAAATTGTTGTCAAAGTAAATATATCACCGCCAAACCACCCACTCACACATGTATATACATATACAAATAATTGCTAACAGTAGCAGTCTCTTTTCTATTATTGTTTTCCAAATGACAAATGTCTTTTGGTTCCTGTCAATTGAGCAAATAAACATTCGCTAACGGTCACTTTATAGATATCTACACAAATACACCAACACACAAATAGATATGTTGTGTTGTACCTACGATATGTGCATCTTAACGTATACGTATGTACATACTATTGAATAGCTATCGACACCGAACATCCTGTCTATTGATTGTTGTCTCTTTTTTCATTTGATGAGAGCAGAGGGCTTTTTCTCCAGTTCATATGTGTTAAATTTGTTGTTTATTTATTTGTTTGAGTTGGGGTGTTGATGGAGTAGTGGGAGGTAGGTGTATGTTGCTACTAGGTAGGTTATTGTGTTTGGGTTATTCTCTGTTGGATTTTCTTCGCATAGAAAAACGTACGGAGGAGTGTGGAAATTAATCGATTCTCGTTCTCAGTTAATGTTGTGACGAAAACACGACGTCAACGACGACGCTATGCCAGTCGTAAAAACATGAAGTCAGATGACTGTGGCATAGCTTTATGTCTGGTTTTCTTCTTGGTTAAGACCATAAGCAGCGCTGTTAACTGCATTTTTCATAACGTCGACGCAGCTGTTGTGAAGTATTGAGAATTGTTTGTTTGTTTGCATAGTGTTTGGTGAGTGAACGCGAGTGTATGAATGGGTGGATGGATGGACGAATGGATGAGTGTGAGCATGGCCCATTCATCAGACGAGCAGAGCACTGAGAGCCAACTCTGAGAATAAACCAGCAACCCACCGATCGACCGATCAACCAGCCATTGAAGATCACCGAACACCACCACCTAGGGATCACAAAGCAAAGTTGCACAAAAATCAAACAGAAAGTTTTCTTACGAGTTCGAACGCACGATTATCGTTGGCGCAACATTAGTTTTGAGTTGGCTACCAACGCGAGCGGGTCATTCTCTTTGCAAGCGACACACGTATCTATCGTTCTAATACCAATAAGAAAAAAAAAATTAATTTTCATCCTATATATACAAAAATATATATAAATTTGATCTACATACGTATACACAGTATAATTGTGTATTATATGAACTTTTGGATATTTTTTTTTTCAAAATTTCAATATCGAAAAAAATTCTATCTTTTAAATGAAAAAAAGAAAAAAACTTTGTGGATACTTCTTTGGCCAATATATAGAAATATTTTTTCTATGAAAAAAGAATATAAATATAAAATAAAAAATATATATAGAGAACAACAACAGCAACAATAAACTAGTGTTATACAATCACAAGAATAAAAAAGAAACGAAAAATAAAAATTCTTTAGAAAAAAATCTTCAAAAAAAAGTTTTATTTTCATTTTCAAACAAGAAGAGGAAGCAAACGAAGAGAAACAGAAGAACAGAAAAAAGAGGAAACGCATATGCTGTCTCTGCGATTACGAAAAAAATCGTTTTTTTTTTTGTTTCTTTTCTGCAAATATTTGAATAATGAACAAACACTAAAATGCTACTGCTGCAATTGAAATTATTTTGAAAAATTGTGCCAAAACTCTGCATGTAGAAATACGAAAAAAAGAAACGAAAAACAAAAACATTTATATGTATTTTATTTAAGTGGATAATTTAAAATTAGATTTGAATTTGCTGCAGTTAGACATCCCTGCTTTCATTGTACTTTTAGTCTTCTCTTTTCTATTTTTTTGCTTACATTGTATCTGTTTTTTTTTTCAATGTTCTCGTTCCCTCATTACCCCTTGGATGTTTATTTTTCTCCTTCTTCTTCTTTTAGATTTAGAATCTTAAGGATACTTCGAACGAAATACAAATTGTTTTAGAGTAGCTATTCGCTATTTTCTCTCGCTTCCAACTTTCTGAAAGTGTTGGAATTGAATTTCTATCCCTCTCTACTCACTGAAAGAAAGAAAGAAAGAACAACAACAACAAAACACGAAATAGTTTAAGTTAAAAAAAAGAGAAAAATAAAACAAATTTTCAAAACCAAAAATTATTACTAAAAATTCGACAAAAAATAGAAAAAAAAACCAAACCAACAACAACAAAAATAAACTAACTTTTAAAACGTCATTTCAACTACAGTAACACGACGAATTCAAAATGATGATGGAGAACGGGCTCTCCATGGAAGGTTATGGTGAAAACTACATGGAGCAAGAAGAAGAGTGGGAGCGCGAGGGACTTTTGGATCCCGCCTGGGAGAAACAACAAAAGAAGGTAAGTGTCACCCACTGTCATTGATGGCCCAACATATTTTTGCCCACCCCCATTACATAAAATCTTTCGATTTTTTGTCAATAATAGAATCGATCTGCCAAATATTATTTTTTTCTTCTGATTGGAAAATATATTAATGATGAAAGGTGGTGGCAGTGATATATAATCTCAAGCTTATATATCTACACATAGTCACACGAAGAAATGTTATGACTGCATACACATATACAAATATTTATATGTATGTGGGTATATAAGCGATCTGAATGTATGTGGATATTTTTCACATGTTCACAGCAGCTGTTGAACACCGCCCCAATATTACCCCATCATCATCGGTGTCCGTCCTCTACACACACACTTGTATATATCTTCGTTTTTCGTTTTCTCAAAAAATTTATGTGAAAAATTACCCCGCTTTTGCCTTCTTGGTCCCAAAATATTGGAATATTAAATCGCTCGTTTTTTATTTTTCACCGAAAAAACGAAACCATAAAAACAACAACAAAAACAACACATTCTTATAAATAATATTTTGTCGCTATATTGCAAGAACCACCAAGAGCCATCTAACCAACTGCCAACCGCCCACATAAAGTATATTTTTTATAGAATTATTTTTAAAAATTTCAAAACAGAATTTCAGAATTTTTTTGTTCAGTATCAAAATTGTCTTGGCCGCGAAAAGTCACAGACAAGATATTCTGTGAATGGTTGGCTGCCTAGCTGCCTATCATCCACCTACCTCTCACGCACTTTTCCCCCAATGTTCACCTCACATCTTATTGAGAATGGGTGGTGTTCCAGTTTCCCATGCTGCCCCCTTGCACTGCAGTTCCCATCGATGGTCTTCCCTTCCCTTGTTATTCTAGATATTGATTTCCGTCTTTGTGATCTTTATCGAGTTCTTCATTTTTTTAGCCTGTGTATATTCACCACACTCAATGATTCTTCGATAAAGTTCCAATAGATGTGTATTTGTGTATATCTTCTTGTTAGTAGGTAAAATTTGATGAGAAGCAAGAGAAAGAAGGAAAAGCTTTTTTTTCTCAATATTTAAAAATAGATATAATTTTCACATTTTCTTCACGCAATACATTATCCTCATCTCTACACCAGCGGCCGCAGCAGCAGCATCACCATCAACATGCATTTCATCGATTTCTTCTGTTCTGTTTCTGTTTCTGTTTTTTTTTTTTTATTATTTGAAGACACAATTTTCCGTTTCTCCGTTCAGAAGAGGTGTCTGTGTGCGTGCGTGTATGAGTATGATTTTAAGTGCGGGGGAAAAACTTGGCCCAGTATTCACACTCTTCGTGTGTGTGTATGGGAAAATCTTGAAAAATATATATTTAACTAAAAAATGTTTAGGTGAATATCTGTCATATTTGTGACAATGTCATTTTGATTCAATTCAAATGGTGCGCCGCGGCGCGTTCCATTTGTGTTAATGTTTCTAGGACAAAAGTGGTGTGTATTTTTTTTAAAGTTAAAAAATACTAGGTAAAACCATTTATTTTTAGGAGAGATATTTTCAAAAAGAAAAAAAGAATTATTTATATTTTTGTTCGGTAATCGAATATTTAACAGATATATTATTTTCAAATTCTATTTGTCACCCAAAAATGCATCATTTGACCTTTTCAAATTACATTTTATTGACTTTGATATTTAAGAAATATCCACATATGTATCTGTAGGAATTTTCATTAAATCGACTAGCACAATTATTTTCAAAAGGATCCAATCGTTATTATTCTATTGACCGATCATCATCAAAAGGCTCTTGGTAGTTTGTTGTCCAGATGTTCAGGCAATAATTTCGAAATTTAGAGCGGTTAGGGACTTTGGCACATAGGTTATCAATCAAAAATTTTTGAGTCCTCCTTTGGGCTCTAAATTATTGTATAGAAAAAAGTACCACGTCTTTGGACATATAAACATTTGTTGGTTCTGCCTATGAGCAATATATTGTTGGTTCCCCTTGTGGACCGTAGATCACTTTTATCCCCAACAAAATTATAGAATTTGTTTTTCTGATTAAATTTCATTACTTATTGAGCTGTCTCGAGACAGAACATTTGATTCATAAGCCTAGTTTAAAAAAGATTTCCAGTCGCGTCAGTTTTGTGCGCAGTTTTTCTAATTTAAAAGAACCTGTTTCGCTATTTTATCTTCCACTTGATCTTTCCATCGAATCCGTGGCATTTCCCTTCTGCTTGAACCATCATTTGGCTCGCTTTTCTATGCCTTTTGAGCTGGGGCATCCTCATTCAGTCGCACAACATGGCCTAGCCACCGTAGCGTCTTTTAGCGTTTGTGTTAGGTCCAGCGAGAGGTGGCCTTGATTTTAAATTGCTTACTTAGACATAGACGAGCGCAAAAGTCGACTTTTGGATTTTTCGATTTTTGCCTCTGACAAAAAAGGCGAATTTTAGACTTGCCTCTGACATAAAAGTCGACTTTTCGATTTTTTCAAACCTGTTCGAAATCAATTTTCGACTTTTATCGGCTAATTTTTGTCAACAGATAAAATAAAGTTTTGGAATGCGTAGGGCAACTTGGCCTTCGTGGTAATAAACCAAGTATTATATTTATGAAGAAAATTTAAAGTCAATCTTGAAAACTCGAATTTGTGACTTATTCAAGGATTTTTCAATACAAAAAGTCGATTAGTCGAAAGTTGATTTACTTATCCCTAACTCAGACCATAGTAGCATCTGTTGGCAAACACTATTCTTCTCCAAGGTAAATAAAATCGTTCACTACCACGAAGCTGTAGTTTTCAAATTCCACATTTGTTCCGAATCTACTGGATGTCTTGCGCGTTGATATCATCAACACGGTCTCCTCGCCATTAACTGCCAGTCCCACTTTGGCAGACTACTTCTCAATTCGTTCAATGCTGGCTGTTGGCGTTTGCAATGTTGGACCCAAAATTATAATTAACTGACTTCGACATAAACTGCATCTATTTCGCTTGGGGTATTTTGGGCGGATTTAAAGAATGCGTTTTATGATTCGGGATATCTTCAATGAAAGTTTGTGTGTATTGACACAATAGGGCGCAATTTTGTTACGGCGCCATAAGATACTAAGCTCCTGATATATATCAAAATATCGAATATTTGTTATATGAAATCAATACCAAACAGTAGTGGTGACCAGTTTTTAGGTTTCGACTGTCAAAAAGTTCTTAACGTCCTGGGTAATATTGGAAATTGTGTGGAAAAACTCCATCCATTACCGATTACGATCAAAAAAATTCTAATAACCTTACCAAATTGCAGGCGGCTTGGTATCAAAAAAAAATTTGGACCCTGCACATGGAACATAAAATAAATTGAACTATGCAAATAAAGCTTTTATAACCTTCAATTTCTCTTTTTTTATATCATAAACTGTGATATTCTTGTTTAGCTATTTTTATTCCCATTTCTCTTTATCAAAATTCTTGTTTAGCTATTTTTCGTGATTAATATTCAAAATGTTATCTCCACCAAACAAAAAAAAGTAATAATGAACCCCAAAATTATAACGTACTCAGCACAAAGATATGACAAAATTGATAAAAATCTGCATGAGCACCAGCATTTTTTCAATTTCCCTTCCGATACACACAACTTGATAGAATCTGTATGAACGACAATTTGTAATTTGTTCTTTCGATTCTGTGCGAATGAAGGTCACGTTGGCTGTGTATCTATTTGTGACGTTGGTAATATTTACCGTAATGCATTTAAAGACAGTTGTCGTTGTTGGAAATTTTAAAACAATTGTAAAAATATTATTCTGGTTTGTTAATTTTTTCTCCACCTCCCGCCCCCTCTACGCCTCTCTCCCTTTCGTTGGTTTACTTGTATATCGCTAACCTTGTAAAGTGTGGGCATGTACGTAAGAAATGCTCTTTGCTGCTCTGCTGCTGTTACAAAGTGAGAGTGTAAATTGTTATTGTTTTGTCTTCGGTGAGACAAAATATGTTTTCTTCGACTGTCACTTTATTGCTGCTGATGTATGAATCAATGTTTCTAGCAAAAAAAAAAAAAAAAAAAAAAAAAAATAGTTGTTGTTCTTCTTGAAATACCTTTCATATCTCTCTCGAGAGAGATACACAATCTCCCACCTGCGTTGAGGTGATGCTTTCATTAAAATAAAAAAAAAACAACTCACAATTGTTGTAAAAAAAGTACAGACTTTGGCACACATCAAAGTACAAACAATACTTTAGCATTATTCAAAAGATAACAACACCAACATAATCATGAAAAAGATGATGATGATCATCATCATCATATCTAAGTGGTGGTCATGGTTCATTGAAGAAGGGTTAGGTGGGATAAAGAGTGAATGGTTGATATCTTAACGAATAAACGGATAGTTCAGACTCATCATAGGTATGTGAAAAGGTAAACCCAAACAAAAATATATGTATGTGGATGAAATTCCCATGCGTGCATATATACGTATGTTGCGAGAGGAAAAAGTGTGTGTTGCTGCTGTGACCAAAGCCAAGTAGCTACCAACCAACCGGTCAACAAACAATCCACTCAAGTGACGCATACGGTTTTGCAATGCCCCCGAATCCATCCTCCCACTTTATTCAATTTATGAATAATGATAATTCACTTATTGACACTGATATTCAATGGTAATTTTTATATGTTATTTTTTTAATAGAAAATAATTTTCATTTTTTTGGAAATATCGTTGATTTCATTTAAAAAAATATTTGTGTTCCAAAAATACTAGATATACGATTTATTTTTAGGAAATATATTTCCATAAAAAGAAATATTTATATTTTTGTTCGGTGACCGAATATTTACCAGATATATTATTTTCAAATTATATTTGTTCCCCATATATCTATAGAAAAGTCCGACAATCCCAATTAGTTTCATAAGGACCAAATCGCTATAAAATTATATTGACCGATCACCATCAATAGGCTCTTGCCTAATATTTGTTCAGGGTTCCAGGTAATATTTTTGGTATTTAGA